CTTTCCAACCTAGTGATTCTGTGATTCTCCCAAGGGGCGTTGCTGACTGATTAGAGCTACCACCAGGGTCCAGCCAGGCTGACTGTGTTACTTGAGTATCTTTAAAAAAAAAATACAAGTTATTAAGCAGCTCAGACATCTAAGCAAGTAGCATGGTTCCAAAGCACCCATCTTGGCCTCCCATATAGGATTCTTTTTTTAATGGACCAGGCTTACTGTGTGAAAAGAAATCTGTTTAAATAATGCACTTCTTGTTTTGGGTGGGTTTTGTTCCTGACAATGGCATCCATCAATCGCTTTTATGTTTCCAGCCCCACCACTTAATGCCAATCTATCCTTAAAAAATAGTTGCTCCCGAACCAACTAGATGCCTCTGGGTTCACTTGAGAAAGACTGCCTGAGCTTTGCAGTGTATCCCATAATGTCATCTCCAAAAGTAATAACTGAACCTCGCTGCTTTGTGATTACAGCATTTGATGTGTGCTGGGCTCTGGTGCCTGGTGGAAGGAGATACATCCTGTAAAACAAAGTTGGACCCCCCTCTGGATGGCACTGAATGTGGCGCAGACAAGGTAATCAAAACACTCGGTAGCAGTCGCTTGGTTTTTTCCAGCATTGTCTGTGGAATAATGTTTCCAAGATGTTCAGTATTTACCATAAACCCATATTTTATACTGATTCTGTTACAGAAACGGTTCAATTAACAGCTGGATTGGGTTAAGTCTTTCTGATTTTGTTACGTGTATTTCAGTAGCCTCTGGAGACCTCAGTAGTCAAGTTCTTGTGGTCTAGGCACTATACAAACACTGCAGGAAAACCCCATGCCTCACTCTGCTAAGTGTACAGACCCTGCGAGTCATGTTAGGTAGTAGTCAGTTGCAGTCCTGTCACCTCTGTTCATTGCTGTCAGTGGTGTTTCATGACTGAGGTGTTTTTTCAGTGTAAGCTAAGGTAGTAGCATTCTTGGCTATTTTTGAGGTAGCAAGTGCATTTAGGCTGACATTTGGGGAGTGGAAAAAGATGAGGAAAGAAAAATAGGGTACTTAAAAACTTTATAGATTCTAAAAGTAGCTCAAAAAGCGTTGAGCTCAAAGTCAGTGATGTTCAGGTTTTTTTGAAGTATCGTTTGCTGTACTGTATCTATATACTCAGATGTCTAAGGTATATATGGACTTTCCAGAATCCAGGTCAATGTAGAAAATTGTTACAAGCAACACAAAATAAAATCTCAGATTAGTGGATCTCCCTCCATTGAAAATCACCATTCCAGTAACTGGCTTCAGTGCCATAAGGGTGGGAGTTACTGAGGCTCAGCTGCTGCCTCCCAGCTGGCCTACTGTGCTAAAAGAAGTTGACGTAAGTGAACACGTTTAACCTCCGAGATGGGCTGTGCTCGGTGGTTTGAGGTTCGTAAATGTATGTGGAGCTGATAACTTGTTAGGCTACAAAGGAACTTGATTGGTTTGGTAACTGCCAGCCCCCTACTTACTGGTTTTGGATTCTAATATTTTTTATACGTTTTATGGTTGGGGAGGTAAGAAAGGGTAAAATTGAAAAGTTTGTTGCTAAAAATCAAAGATTAGAGACCGTTTCTTTGCTTGCAAGTAAAGATAAACAATGACAAGAAAAGCTGGGTCCTGGAAAGCATGACAAGGAAACTGAGACAAAAGATTTTTAGATATGTGTTTTTCTAACTACAGGAGTCCTGGTGATTCTTTTGTAAGACTGCTAAGCAGTGCTTACTGTATCATATCCTGGACAGAGCAGGAGAATAGACCAAGTTTGCTGCTTGGTCAGGAGCCAGCGCAACCTATTAGAATCAAAGGTTGTTTGGGGCTTTAACCAGGTTTGGTCCAAAATACCTCAATTATTTTGTACATACTGGGAATACTGCTGATGAAGACATTGCTTTGGGGTATAATTTCTTGGACTTGTTTTCTGTGAATAGTGTGGCTTTAAGTCTTAGCACTTAGACAATCATCTGCTTTATAAAGCAAGGGACTGAATTCTGTGATTATTTTTTTTAATGACAGAACTCCCTTCAGAGGTTCGTTGAAGGTGACACTTAAATTTCTGGTTTTCACCTCCTTCCTTTCTCCTCCTCCTACCTCCACCTCACTGAAGCCTTGAATCTCTAGAAACTTAAACACGGGCTTGTTATAATCTCTCAGACATCCTTTCAAGTCCACCTGTGCAGGAATGTTTGCAAGATCAGGGATTCTTTCCTGCCTGTGCTAACACAATTGCATTTCAGTGGTGCCGAGCTGGGGAGTGTGTCAGTAAAACTCCCATCCCTGAGCATGTTGATGGAGACTGGAGCATGTGGAGTCAGTGGAGCATGTGCAGCCGGACGTGTGGCACAGGAGTGCGATTCAGACAGCGGAAATGCGACAATCCTCCGTAAGTCTTTACATCATGCTGATTTCTTTTTGCATGTAGCACTTAGACAACCTTTCTGCAAGAATACAGGGAAGAAATAGGCAGCAGAGGTGCACAGAGGACATGAGAGATTTCTTGTTCACAAGCAGCAAAGAACAGGTCAAAATCCTGGAATGACGTGAAGTACATTCTGTGGAAGTGGCTTGAAGTGTTACCATTGGAAGTAGCCCATTGCAATGATTCAAATATAGACACAATTGAATTAAAGATGCATAGTTTGGCAGAAAAAATGATGCTGTGTTTTCTCTCCAGCACTGCAGTGAATGAGGAGGGGTTGATCTGGATTTACAGACCAAACTGAGCCAATATGCCTTAGAGATCAGTTTTGCAGGGAGTGCTGGCTCTGGGCTTGGGAAATGATAGAGTGGCTGACAGTGGTCCTAGTGTTATATAGTTGTGTTGCTAAAGCACCTTGAGATATTCTGTACATCAGGATATGCTGCATATGGAAAGGAATGTTTTCCCCCACACAGAGTGCAGTGGGTGCTATTTAGCTCCTGCACAGTGACTACAAATAAGCCTATGGTCTCTGCTTGGACTTGGACTTTCTTCTTATTCGGGAAGAAATGTAAGTTATGTTACCTCCCATGTGCCATCCTTCATCCCTCAGGTTAGTTGAGGCACATCTGGAAGTCTTTTCTTCTTATGGGAGGCCTGACCAGGTTATCATGGTAGCTGTTTAATTGACCACCCCTCTTTGTGTGCATTATAACTTCTGAAGATCAATGAGAGTGCCTACAATCTTGAGAGCAGCCTTCCAAATTGTGTTTCTGTAACTTTATTCATATTTTAAGGTTTTCTCCACAGACAAAGCACAGGAAACTTCTCTTTTTAAATAGGGCCTGAAATTCTGGATAGCAACGTAGTCACTTTGAAGACATACCTAAATGATGGATAGGCATACACTGGCTGCTGCTGAGCTGTATTCATGTGAAAGGGATATTTTTGTTTATTCTGCTCCTTAAATAACACTGAACTGCCATTGCATGTCTATAATGTCCAGGCTTGATTTTTACCAGCTCATTTTCCTGAACAAGGGACTGAGCTGGTTTCTTAGCTGTCAGGTACAAAAAGTCTCTTTAACCACAGTGCTGACCAAACCTAAATCCATTCATCATCGTTCCTTAAATTACAGGAAATGCTCCCTCCAAGATTGCACACTGATTTTAAAATTCTCTTGCTCATATACATTCTTGGCTGGGGATACACACGTGATCTTCTTTTGCTTCAAATTCCTGGCATCAGCCCACTTCTTCTGCAGCTGGTTTATTCACTGTCCAAAAATATTGGCTGAGGGATTTATCTTTTATATATATTTGGTCTTGGGATTTTTTTTAAACTGGAATCTCTACTCCTGCCAGCTGACTTTTGAGCCTGTGGGACTATCAGTGTTTTTAAACCAGTTGCTTCACTGTTTGATTTGGGTTTTCCTCTCTGTAATTTCTGTGAGTATTTGCTTGCATTGCCTCCAAATGGTTGTAAGGCAGTGTATCATGAGGCAGTTTGCACGTGCAGACTTTTGAGTTGTACTGCCTTGTGTTCTTCTTTAGGCTTTTGACTGTTGTCATACAATGGGATTGCAGAGAAAACAACTGGCTTAAACAGAACATCAGAATGAGATCTACACCCCTTCTCCAGTCCCTTCTTGTCATGTGAAAAGTGTCACAGTAGTATAAATGGGCTTTGATCTCTTCAGTTTCATTAGTGGGTGGATTCTCTTGGCACAAATACAGTGGAAGATGTCCGTGAAGTTGTCTACCAAGAGATCTCACACAGTCACTGTTTCAGGCATGTGTCAGGGTGGGCTTGAATTATACTGTTTATTGGAAATCCCAGGCAGTGGTAGAGCCTGTGTTATACAGGGCTTGGGACCTGGGATTCCAGGGATCTTTCCCTTCAGATTCTTTTGCAGAATCTGATAGAGATGATGCCCAAAGTCTTGGCCTAAGCATTTGGAGAGGTGCAAGGAACACAAGGATGAAGCTACAAAAGTGGTGTGAAGCAGGAAAAGAAAGGCTTATGAACAAGTTTTAGGTAACTGTTTGTGGAAGACCAGAGAGAGGGACTGTCATTGTTTTTCTTCATCTTGCATGATGAAACCCCTCAATATCCTGTTTAAAAATGCCAAAAGGCCTGTAATACCGAAATACTGTTACAGAGGTCTGTTAAGTAAAAGATTACTGACAGAAATTCTGTATTCCCTACCCAGAGCAGAACATAATCAACATGGCAGAGCTATGTCTTGTCCATTTCTCTGACTGCCTGTCCACACCTGTTTATCTGCTTGTTCCTGAACCCTTTGAATAGACGCTGTACATTCTACTAGTGTTTTACTAGAGCTAGTCTAGTAGAAAGCAGCAACATACTACCAAATAAAGTATGATGCTGTTGGACAGAGGGGAGCTGAGGTGGGAAGATCCTCTTGGGTGTATAATTTTTGTTGAATTACTAGGAGTAGAAATGTCCCTCAGATCTGTAGGATGCTCTGTTGTTTTGTGGCTGATGAGATGAGTGCATTCAACTCTTTGGTTTTGGGAGACATTACATCAGTTGGAGACAGTTCATTTTAGTCCTTAATTAGAAAGGGAAGACAGGTCAGGCTGCTGAAGGGCCAAGCAGAGTGCAGGCCAAAAAGCACTTTGTTCCCACAGCTCTCACTGGCTGGGAGTGGTGGGTGCTCAGGAAGTTCCTGTCTTCTAATGGATTTCGCTGGTACTTTATTATTGCCAGTGACCATTATTACCAACAGGGAGAGCTGCTTACTTCCAGTCTGCATTGGCAAACTCATAGAAAGTCCCTCACATGTTAATGACATCTTAAGATTAAAGCCAAAGCAACTGCTGATGAACACAGTAAATAGTAGTCCTGCTGTGTGTCCTGTTACCATGGCCATCATCTTGACATCCTGCTCTCAAAAGAGCGCTCTGTTACTCTTTGTGTATTCTGACTGCTTTTTGGTTGGTTTTTGTTTTCTTGTGCATGTATACACAAACGTGCAGAGAGTCACTTATGTTCCATGGCTACATCTCTTTTGCTGAAACCAAAGTTTGTGTATCTGTCTTTATGTGAGTGCAGGGTTCATGTGGGAAGGAGCCTGCGTCATGCTTTGAGTCATCTGGACTGAGTGTCTGTCTCATCCTCTCATCCAGTCTAAGGCAGCAGACACAATCCTCCCAGAAGATTTCTGCATCAGTCTCAGCACATCTGCTGCCTTGCATGTGCCTGTGGCAGAGAAGAGGCGTTAGCAGTGCAAGCAGGTGTTCGTTGAGGCTGTTTTTCTGGTGACTCTCTGTGATGTTACAGCATCATTGGAGATTGGATCAATGCAGCATTTCCATTAAAAAAAAATTAAAACACTTTTTCTGGGATTTACAGAACTACTGTAAAAATTTGATCTAGGCTGAAATTTGGCATAAAGCTCTTCTATGCAGAATCAAGTGTTGGTGTTGCACCAAATGCTGAATTCATCAAGTCCAGCACAGCTAGGAAATCAAAGGCCCAGTCCTATAGCCTGCGTATAAATGAACAGGGCAACTCTTGCTAGGACCACTGACACAATCTCTTGCTAGGACCACTGACACAAATAAATTAGATACAATGAGGGACTTGTTTCTAATTAGCTGAGTGATATAACCTGATGTTCATTGCTCTTCTGGGAGGGAGGGTGGAAGAAGTTTTTGGAATGAACTGCCATACTGCTAAAACCTGGAATTTGGCTGGAGTTGCTTTTTATAGCCATCTGTTAATGAAAAGTAAGAACATGACTTTATCCGTCTGCTGATTACAGCTGGGGAGGTAGGTATGTGACATATTCAGGAGAATATCAGATGCAGCTAAAGAAATTATCTGTTAGAATGGCCAAGTCTTTTGCTTACTTGGATTTTTTGTTTGTGTTTTGTTTTGTTTTGTCTTGCAAAGAAAATATAGGCTATCATTGACAGTTTGAGTTTTCCTTCTTCTCTGGGGAATCATAAAAAAGAATAAATAGATTTTGCAAGTTCTTAATCCTGATGCTGGATTAGTGGCCTTTCCTGCATGTTTAAAAACCAAATGTGTAAAATGGTGTGGTTTTCATGGGTGGAGATTATCTGCTGCACAGATTTGTTTCTGGACACCCTATTACAGTACAGGTTATAGCTACTTCTATGTTATTTGAGTTTCAAACTGCTGAAAACAGAACCTTAGAGAATATGTGCTGAAAGAGTCATTTGCTGTGTCCCCATTGTTTGAGGCAGGGGGAAAGCAACTGGTGGGAAGAGAAAGGTGAAACATTCCAGGTTGCCTGCCTCTGCCTTGGGTACTTGGTGTGATCCTGGGCACAATAATGTCACTATAGTGCCTCTAGGTTCTCCATTAAGAATATAAACACTTAATTTGTGGTTCAATCACAAATACCAAAGCTATCTTCTGCACCTCCTGACTGCAAATACAAATAATACTTATACTTCACGTGTTGTGCTCAGTGCACCTTCCAAAGCCTAACCTTCACAAGTCACCATCAGTTAAGAAACTTGTCCCAAGTCACTGAAAAGTTAGTCAGAGCGTAGGCCTGATGTCATGGCAGAACCTAAAGTTTGGGAGTGCCTTACTTCAAGTCCTGTTCTGAAGCTGATGGTATACACACACACACATTCTCTCCACTCTTTCTCAGTCATTTGCCTGCTCCATCTGAAAATAGGTTAGGATAGGAATGAATTGCTGTTGAAGTCAAAGAAGAAATTTAGGTCAGCAGTGCAAAATTACTCACATCCCTTGATTTGTGACCAGAATGCAAACAGTTAAACACTCTATAACTTCTAAGAAGGCTGCTTAGTGCCCACAGGTGAATAGCATTTTGGCTTAACTGTTCTCTGAGGTGTGTGATGTGTAGGCAGCTCCTAATTATTGATCTGTGTATGGGATACTATAAAAGAACGTGCTTCTGAAGTACTCCGGAGCATCTGTTAGGATAAGCAAATTATAGATCCAAAATGAAGCTTGAATACTTTTCTGTCAGAGCCACTGAGAGCAGGATTTGCCTTCCAACAGGAATATCTGAGAGGAAGGATCCTTCCTGCTATTTCAGGAGTTGCCTTGGACAGGGAAAATTAGGCGAAAGTTTGCCTATGAGTAGCTATGCTGTTCCTGCTGCCCCTGGTTTCTCTTTCCCACAATAGCCCGGGGCCAGGTGGGAAGAACTGCCGGGGAGCCAGTGTGGAGCACACTGTGTGTGAGAACTTACCCTGCCCTAAGGGTGTGCCAAGCTTCAGGGACCAACAGTGCCAGGCCCATGACAGATACACCAACAAGAAGAAAAGCCTCCTGACAGCTGTCATTGTTGATGGTAAGTTTTTTCATCTTCCTCTGTAATTAATTTCTTGCTGTTCTTTCCCTGCAGCTTCTCAACCATCTTGATTTCATCTGCAAGACTCCCATTTGTTGGTGAGAACGCTACAGTATGTTCCCCTTAGCTACAGCTGAAAGACTAATTACAGTTAGTTGTTCTTGCTGCTGCCCTGCTCTTCTTTTAGCCTTCTTAACAGAAGATACAGAGCTGTCAATTCTTTACTCATCTTGTTGTAATACTGGGGGAGAGGTGCCTTAACTTGATTCCCAGTCTGAACAGGCAGGTGTTTGGGAATGGGAGTTTAAACATTAGAAAGTTCAAATTAATTTGGAACTAAAAAAAAGAAGGATTCCCTGGGACATTTTCGATGTCTGTCAATTCTGGGCATTTCAGCATGATTGCCTTTCCTACCTACATTCCTTTAATGCTTCCTTTGCTGGATCTTGCTGTTCAGCTACTATTCAACCAGATGTTGGGGGGATATGAAAAAGGATTGTAATAATGTCCTTTCTGCAGGAACAAATATCTTTCACTACACTCTGCTGAAAAGCAGACAAGGCTAGTTTCACTTGGTCATCTTAAAGACGTGCTTGAACAGAGGAGAGTGGTGTTGGAACCACAGACATTGGATAAGCCCTTCCCTGTGCTAGCACTGACAAATTAGGTCTGACGCCAGGACAAGCGTACAGACAGCTTTTCAGTTCCCATAGCAGACCCTCCAAGAGCACAATTCCTTGAGATGTCCCAGGAGACAGGCTGGTTTTGCTTGTTGTCCCCCTCTGATCCTCCCCACCCCCCAAACAGTTTTGCTGGATGAACGCATAATGCAGACCTACTTTCCTGACTAATTTCAGTCGTAGAAAACTCTCACAGTTTTTTCCAGGGGTGGGCTGTTTCACTCCTTTCTCCATTTCCAATCAGGAGCTATGGGTTGCTGAGGGTACTGTAAATAGGAGAGAAAAGAAAAAAAAAAAAGACGATTCAGTGATCCCTGATCAGTGCTGCCAGAATTAGTAGCATATTGCAGTGCATATTGCATCATTCAGTCACAGAAAGGATATATGCTATTTTTTAGCCATCTGAAGGCTGACCAATCTATTGCTAAAAGCGAACATGGTTCCTGCTGTCTAGCAAAGCCTCACTCACCTGAGCCATGTTGCCCCAGTTTCTGTGAATGCAAGTTAGAAACCTCTCCTGCCCTGTTGCAGATCTCGCAGCTGCAGGGAGAGAGGCTGTCCAGAGGCGGTCAGATTAGCGGTTTCCTGCACAAGCTGCTCTTTCAACAGCTTTCCCAGCTCCTCGGTTGACTCTGCAAGTGAAATCAAAATCCAGCCTCTGCAAATTTGCTTTGCATTAGACGCAAGGCAGGGACAGAACATCCACAGGATATGCCTGTAGTCCTTCTATCAAGCAAGATTGATGGACAGAGGGCAGCTCAGCTTCACATCTCAGTGTCACTGTTTCTTGAAGCATGTTAGAGCACCCATATGGAAGCACCACACTCAGAAGCATTTAAATAGACACAGATACAAACCAACATTGAGCTAATCTGCACTGTGCTTGAACTATACTTATATGTATTAGTAAGATGCGAGCTGATTGCAGGTTTTTGATTGCATTGGAAACTTAGGAAAGACCTATGCCACTTAGCTTAATGTATTGGCAAACTTTCTCTCTTATGTCTGATGAGTGGAAGTACTTGGCTATGCAGAACAAAACATGTTTCCATTTGAATGTCTATAGGTTCTTCCTTGGATGAAGTCTGAGAGTAACAAAGTCAGCTCCAAAGGAAAAACATTACATTCCCTAAATATCTGTTACTTAAACATATGGCAAATGCAGTCAGCAAACCTTGACATCTGCTGTATGCTGCCAGTTAATAATACAAATCTTTGAAAAACGTTTTTTACTTAATTCCTTCTCTAGCTAAACACAAGAGTAACTTTTCCAAAGTGAGGTCTAAATATATAATATGATGATTGCCATTAGCATGGATGAAAAATGCAACTTTTCTCTACTGATGTATTTCAAATTAATTTGGGGGTTCTTTCGCTAGATATTCTAGCAGCATAGTTTGCTGACAGAAATCCTTGTAGGATCGCAAAAATCAGTTTAAGGAAATAGTAGGTAATACGTATGCAAGAGTGCTTTAAATTTATGTATACAAGTGTTCTTACTGGCAAACTGATGCAAGAAGTCAGTCCATCAAGAGTACAAATGGACTGGAGAACTTGTTCTTCTTAAATCACCGGCTGTAGCCTGAATTTTGTCTGAGACACTCATACTTGGTGATTCATATCAGGCTGCTGAATGTTCCCTGTAACAAACATCTTCCGTTCACAAACAGATACATAGAACTGTACTGACTAAATGGTTTTCTGTGTCTTAAAAGACCAATCTCATCAATGTAACCCTTTGAATGTTAATATTTTAAAGTGAGGAATTGACAGGCTTAAACTGGAAGTCTTATGTTCCTTCAAAGATGAGAGTATCAACGGATACTTTTCCAAATCCATTCATGTAGAAACTGCATCACCAATTGCCTCAAACATTTGTTTGTGCTGTTCCTAAAGCCAATTGCTTTTGTATTTCTTTTTCCAGATAAGCCATGTGAGCTCTTCTGCTCTCCACTAGGGAAGGATTCCCCTGTGCTGGTGACAGACAGAGTCCTCGATGGCACTCCATGTGGGCCTTATGAGACCGACCTCTGTGTGCATGGCAAGTGCCAGGTGGAGTAACTTTCTCTTGTTTTATTTCTAGTGTTATATGTAGTTTGGGGCAGCTGTGTATATCCCAGAAGAACAGGAATCCACATGGGTGTCTGGGAGACTGTCTCTGAGGTGAGGGGGCAACCCTGTTTCATAAGACCCGTTGCAAGCGTTCCACAAACCTGTCTCTTGGTCTAAGAATTATGATAAATGCCCGAGGTATGAGATTATTACTGAACAGCTGGGAATGTTCAGTGATCACATTTGCCTGTGTGTAGTCATCAAATGACTTGGGTGGGAAGCGACTTCTGTGAGGGGAGCAGATGGGAGTGGAAATCTGGCTTACTTAACTGCTCCATTTTGGCTATTAGAGGTATCACTGAAAAAACACTGATGCTTGCAAACTGGATTACCAATTGTCACTAGCCTGTTACAAGTGTTACATTGCCAGCATCATGATGCTTTTCAGGTCTACGTGGTTCCTGCCTAGAAATACTGAGGAAGCTTTTCAATACCAGTTGCTCTTTGGCTCCTGCAGCTGCATGAGCAAGTAGCTTCCCCTATGTGATTTTTGTTGACTGTATTACAATATATGGCAAGGTGAGTTGCTGTAGGGGCCCATCAAAACTGTTTGAAAGTCCTGTTCCCCTTGCAGTAAGAAAACAGTTCCCTTCCTACTACAAACTATACTTTAAAGCTCCACACAGTCGAGAATATAGGTTTAAAGGAGCAAATCCTGCAGTCGAGAGCAAAGACCAAGCCAGTTTTCTTTTGCCTCTCATCTGCATTGTCTTGCTTGAGTCACATAAAGAGCAAGCCAGAGAGAATGTAGGCTAGGCTTCCTTCTGCTGTACTGCAATGGGACAATCAATGTCGTCTTGGTTGTCCCTGGATGGACTGGCCAAACCCTGAATATGCTTGTTTTCTTCAGTCTCTGGTCAGACAAGTCAAGAATGGAAGTGAAGAGTACTCTGTTTAAGAGTTTTTGGATTTGACTCCCTTTTGCTGGAGTGAAGGTGTGATGGCCTATAACCATTGCAATGATGATTATTTCTTTCCAGCCAAATTACACATGGAACCAAAATTAGGTGTGGGAGATCTTTGTAATACAACTCTTCATGGTTTTCTGGGCAGTGAGACAGTTCGTAATGCAGCACATTGAATGCTTAGGGAGGCTATCTCTTAGAGCTGGTATTTCAGATTCCTTGAAAATTTAGTGGAGTTATGTAGACCAATACTAACTGGAGATTTAAGGTTTGGACAAGGGAAGGGAGAGAAGAAAAAGTTTATTTAAAGATCATAAATTACAGGAAGTCATTTGGAATAGATGCTCCTAGCAACGTGTTGCAGTTGGATTCAAGTAATTTGTCATACAACACTGACAGGGCAGACACTTAGTGGTTCTTCTCTCTCCTAATCATGTAGCATGTACTCAAAGTTTTCTGCACACGCGTTAGTGATATGAAAGACAGTTGAGTTGGCTACTGCAACCTTGCCAGTGCTGGATTCTTCCTGGTAGTTCTTCCTCTAAGTTCATCCTCATCTAGATTTGTATCCTATGCTAGGAGTTCCTCTTTTCAGTGTTAACCAGCCTATTGTATCCACCAGAACAGCTTTCTAGCATCACCCTTTACTTCCACTAACTTCACTGGAGATATGCTGGTTTGCCCTAGGGGCACAATGCACACCAAATTTGGCATATTTCTGATTTCTGTGAGCAGTGATTAAGAACTCCTGGTTTTTATTGCTTTGAGCCTTCCAGACAGGGAAATAAATGAACACCATATTCACCTGGGTATAGGAAAGGCTTTAGGGGCATAATGCACCTTTACGAATAGTAATATGACGAGGTAAGTGAAAAATCTTTGTCTGGATTGAATTTTGCACTGCTGCAGGAGACAATTCCCACTGTTTCCTGCCAAATGCTGCTGAAGAGGCATGTTTAATTCAGTCCTTCTAATTTATTCAGATGAAGAACCTGCAAGTTGCTGGGGAGCCAGCACGAGTTTGATTCATTATATGCTCTTTAATACAAAGTGCTTTGCATAAAGCCAGGTTCATGGTGCATCCCAAGTTACTTAATTTTTCCCTGTTTTTAGCTGTATCTGAAAAAACTAAAAAAATCCATTAATAACCTTTTATAGTAAGGCCAGCTGTGCACCTCCAGCTGTGTGCCATTGACCATTATGCTGGGCTGGCCAGCTTTACTGCTTCGAACATTCAGATCAGCCACAAGTGGTAAATCAGACATTATGGCAATGTACATTTTCTTCTTCCAGTGAGGAGCAGTAGCCAGCTCCTCTCCAAATGAAAACCTTTATGAGTACAGAGCTTTGGAGGTACATCATGAAAAGCAAATTGCACTCTAAGTCAGGGGCAACTGCCTTTAACTGTGCAGAGAGGTGATGACAGCTGCAGAACATTCAGTCCATTTGCATCTGGCTGAGAGAAAATGCAAAATGATCAATTCAAGCCGAGCAGATTTGAAAGCCTTGTGAACTCATTTATAATACTCTTCTGCCTTATATGCAGTTTAGCGCTGAGAATTGCCATATGTGACTGTGTACCCCATTTGCCACAGATACTTGTCTAACTAGCTGTCTATTAAAGCAATTTAATCGGCATATTTATTTAATTACTCTTCTCCTTATTTCTTTACCCAGTGTAGACAAAGCCTGGCAACAAGCATTGCAGGGGGCCTGGAGAAGAGAATAAGTGCTGAAATCAGAGGGTGGTATTACTGTTATTTATTTTCTCGTGTAATCCTTCTTGTTAAAGGCTCTCACAGGCAGGAATGACACATTGCCAGTGTAACAGACAAATTAGCAGTAACTATTGCCTGTGAACATCTAGTCCAGGAAATGTAACAACGCTTTTCCCTTCAGCACTAGATGCTCTTAAATGACACTCATGCATTGTTGTTGCATGATGAATGAATGTAGATGAACATGGCAAAGAAAAAAACTGTTCTTGCAAGGAGAGGGAGGTTTTGAGAAGGGAAGCAGGAGCAGATTCTTTGAAGCCACAAAATACTCTAACTTCATTTTGGCACTAAGGGAGGAGAGTTTTTCTTCAGTTGTACTCTGTGAACTTACTGCAGTTTCATTTTGAAGTCATGAGCTGACCTCCAATCTAAAGAGCATGAATGAAGCCTTTTTGCGCAAGCCTCACTATCCCTGAAGCAAAATAATCATAAGCAGCAGCATCCCTGTATTTATCACTTACACCTGAAGGCAGCTGGAGTGAGTAAACTTGCTTAATACTTGGGTCATACATAGAAGCGCCAGTGAGCAAAGTCAGCCCTAAATTTAGCATAGGGGTTCCTAAGTCACCTAAACTTTTTATAATCTTACTCCTTGTCTTTAAGACAAATCATAAGGTCTTCATTCAAATTTGTCCTGTCTTTGTTTATAGAGTTGGTTTTGAGGCTGGACATTTCATTCTTGATAGTGATAGAAGTTTGCCAGAATGAGGACAAAATAAAAGCTATGTAAGAGCTTCAGGAGCTGGTCTCAAAAACTGAAGAGAGTGTTATATAGTTGTGCCTTTAGAAGAAACATTGTGGAGTAACGACAAATGTACTTATCCTTACCATCTTCTGAGCAAATTAGATGCCTTATTCAATGTGTATGTAGGTCGTTGACCTTTTCGTCTTGAAATGCACATAGTCTTCTAGCAAGGAGAATTTCTTTTCTCCTGAGATTTTTCAGAGACAAAAAATCTGTAGCAGGCTGGAGAACAAAAGCAGTCTGATGAATCTGAGGAAGAGGAGGGTGAATGCTCATCTAGGCTTTGCAGCCTCTCTCTCTTGCCTGTTTTCACAGTTTTTCTCTGGCATGGGTATTGCAGTCATGGTGAATATGGGGTAGGGCAGTGCAACCTGCAGCTCAGATTACCTTTATCATCTCATATTTCTTTTCAAGTGACAAGTGACTTTCAGAGAGAGGATTCCCCGAGGGTTTTGTTCTTCCTCAAGACTGTTCTGTGTATGTTTTATGAGTCGACATTCATGGAAGCAGTGCGCGTTCTAACCTCGTACAGTTCTTCACTCTGTGCTGCTGATGTTAATAGAAAACTGCCAGCGGAAGTAGAGCTAAAAAAGGTGTCAGATGTCATACAGCAGTGGTGTGGAGAGAAGACAAGCTGCTCAGCTGACTGTTATGACGCACATGACATTGTGCTGGCTTTTCTCAAAGGAGAATTAGTCTGAAACTCATGATAACATGAGAACTTGCTAGTGGGGACTTCAGGATGTAATCTAAGGTCTCTTTGAAAAGAGACCTCCGGTATAGCAGAACCCGGAAAGAGATCAAGGGCAGTCTTTGCTGTGATTTAACAATTTAAGAGGTGAAGATATTCTGTCTCTATCTACAGTTTTCTCATGAATGTTTTGTTATGTCGCATTTACTTTTAACTTGCTAGTGAATACATGGTCCATTCAGTGATGACAAGCCACATACTAGGCTGTCCTGGCACAAAAAAAAAGTTATAGAATGACTTTCTTTCAAAAGTGATTGTCATACAGTATGAAAGGGGAGTACAAATTTGAAAAAGGACACATTTTCAAAAAATAGTTTTTGCAAATTGGATGGGCAGAGTGTCAGGAGAGGGCCATAGATGGTAGGGGATAAACTGCAGTTGTCCACTGCAGTTGCCAGTTATTGCTGGCAAACAGTTTTCTACATACTCTGTACCCACTTTTTGCATTTGATTGATACATGCAGTTCTGGCTCTGCCTCCCCACTTGAGTATTTTCCATGTATTATTCACATTCCTGCACTACAAACTGTGGTACAAGAAGTTCCAGACTGGGTAGCTTGTCTCCTACAACAACTTGGCTTAGCACCGTACTTTGATAAATTATTTAGTATAAGTGCACAAAATCCAGAAGGATTGTTTGAACTACAGAAACCTGTTGTATAATTGCCTGGGGTTTTTTTTCAATTTCTGGGTCTATAGCAACATAATTTAAGGCCTAAAAAGAGTATCAGGGCTTTCAGTGAGTAAGGCATAGTGACAAA